CGCTATGTATCCGAAGAGTTCGTATTAATGCGAAAAATTAATTTTAGTGAAATACCGACAAACTAACCATCTATTTTAACCTCAACCGGGCTGTAAGGATCTCTGCATATTTCTGAATGTTTTTGCTTTTGTTGTTTATTGGAGTACCCTTCAAAGAGCGGAATTACAGTTTTATTCATTGCCTACCTTTACCACCTCCGGACAAGGTGCGCGGTAGTGCTTACGATAAATGGAAAGCCCGATTCCTACCACGCAGTCTCAAAACATCTGAACACAAGAAACACAGCATATTCACTCTGCTGATGGTTTCAAAGCGTGCAATCTTCACTGAGACCATGTCGAGACTGTCAGGCAGATTTATTAAGCCCTCTTTGCTGCTCAGTCCGTGCTGCAATTGCCTGAGTGTGGCAACCACTTCCACTGATACATATGGAGAAGCGTACACATAGCTGGATCAAGGACTCCATCTCGTAAGCTTGGACTAGATCGCACGCATCGTTTGTGCGGTAAAATTAAGAATACTTATGGTCAAATCTAATTGGCTGTCTTACCACGGTTCTGACACCGACACCGGACCCAGCCAATAATAGGATTTGGGATAAACGGCAAGGCTTCGTTAAACAACTGAAGAACGGTGCCGCCATCTAGATGATACTATAGGTGAAATGATCCTTAAAACACTGAGAAATTGCTTTGCATTCAAGAAAAATTGGTGTTTACTCGGTTTACTTACCTACCTCGATTTAAACAGGGAACTCCTTACGGAAGTAGATAAAGAAACCTTTATTTGAGTATTACATTGCTGTGAGAGTTTACTGTATTTAGAGAATTCACAAAATGGAGATTTCTGAGTTTTATCACGATCTATTAATGCTTTCACCACTAGCGTCATGCATGTGTGACGCGTGTTAACACATAAGTATTTTTTTATTTAAGCAATTTATTGGTAATGCTGTTATGAGCCGAATAGGCGTTTGATACATTTGTGAATGAATAGGTGATGGTTCTATTAGAAGAGAGGCGCACATTTTCATGCAAATCTGACATTCGGATGGGGATGACTCTGGCCTCTCCATGTGTATAAACCTTCCGTCGGAGGTTTCACATGCATTTTATTTCTGTAGTCCCAAGCAGCTAGAGCAAGTCGGATTGGTCAGATTGGAGTTGCTATACGGTACACTCACACACTTCCAAGCAGTACATTACTTGTCTCGCCTCCCAAAACCCAAAAAATAAAAAAAATATAGTTAGAAAAGGGGCTAGAAGACAAATCTCCCTGTTGTAGCCAGTTGGTAATCACGTGCAATCAAAATTTAGGCTAC